ATGAACTTGTCTCTTATTCCTTGTCATTTGTCGACGTCGCCGTCGTCTTTATTTGTTTATTTACTTTGGCTGACTTGCCTTCTAATTTGGCTTTATGGCCCGCTTTACAATTCGGCAATCTTTCGTTGCTGCTACTTCTGTCCAAGTTAACTAGTCTCGTTTTTGGGCCGCCTTCAGTTGTCTTCGGCCAAATTTATTCCACTTCCCGCTCTGTGATTTAGCAACTGCCTGGGCAAACAACATTTTCGAACATTTTGTTCGCTTCAATGAGCCACCGACTAGCTGCCTGTTTATGGGCTGTAAGCCGAAGCGTCCTTTGGTGGTCATAAAGTTTTGGCGCCATTCGGCGGAAATGAACAGAGATGCTATACAAATAAGCTAAAACACTCACATAATTCGATGCCTTTGAAGCAGCTCTGAAATAATTTTTTTGGTTAGAAAATATATTTTAAAAAAATCGTTTTTTAAAGAATTTAATTTTGTTGATCTAAACTAAAGCAGATATTACGACCATAATGGTTTGAAAGTAGTATAATAGAGGGTTATATGGAAACATAGATTATTTTGTTGGGGAACACGTTTTCACAAAAGAATTTTAAAACAACAATTTTCGGAATCTTTCCTTTGATTTAGCTCAAGCAAATTCAATTGGTCTGATTCTTGGCCGCATCACTGCCAAAAAAGCACTTTAATCTCGAGACAAATCAACTGTTGTTAGCTAGAGACAGGCATCTAATTTTGGCACTCAGTTTTGTTGCTTTCGATGTGCGGCACAATTTTAAATGGCAGCTGAGCTGACTGTCGAGATGGAAGTCCCAGTCACGCCGAGGCCAAAAGGCTCATGCCGTGCCACAAGAGACAATTTATTTGGTCCCCTTTAAGCCCGAGGACAAACGCATTCATTATTTTTCTTAATTAAATCTTAATTTTTCTTCCGCGTGTGCGTCGCTTAAAATGAATGAACGACTAATGACTCCGGCGACCGCTGGGCTTAATGCTGATACAGGAGTGGAGTTAAAAGCTCACTGCACATCCTGCAACATCCTGTAGCGGACGACAATAATAAAACTGCATACCGAACGACAGACGGTTGAGGCCAGACAGGCAGTCAGTCTGCAGTCTGCAGTCTGCAGTCTGCACCACACCCCAACCTTTGACCTCTGCCGCTACATTGAAACCCATTTAAGTTGGGCTCGGCGGGGGCTGCGAATGCCACTAATTAAGCCTAATGGCGCATGAAACATGCATTAAAACTAATGTGCAAGCCCCGTCGCCATAGTCAACAAAGGGAGGGTAGAGATGTCGATGGCCTTGCCGTTTGTGTCGCACTGGGTGGGTGGGCCAGAAGGCAAGAGTTGCTTCCTTTCTCTGCCCAGTTTAATGGGGCCAGCCTAATTTTATGGTACGCAACATTTTGTTGCTGAAGTGCTGCTGAAATGGGAGGTAGTGCAGCTCTGTTAAAGGGTTGGGCGAAAGGGTCCTTTTAAGATCAAACATAGGTTAAAGTTTGACGCAGTAAAATATTCTCAACGAGCTTTGGACTAACGATTTTATTTATAGTATTGTATGCTAAGTAGTTTTAAAAACTAAAGGGCTCTAATTACGGGACTTACCTTTTTATTATTAAAACTTTTTGTTTTTTGAAGTTAAAAGGTTCAAAACAAATTTCATATTGAAACAGCTTGTGGGGGAGAGTTTTCCACAATTCAGAATCATAGTTCCATAATTTTCAAGAGTGCATTTAATTAAACACTTGACTTTATGCAGGGGTTAGCGCACTCAGAGTTCAATTGAAGAACCATTCAAAATGCAGTTGCAGCTTTAAGAAGGCACATTATTGTGCCCCTTGGAAGTACCTACTAGATATTCGCTGTCAAGGAGAACTGGGCCGACCACTAATGAAACATTATGGCTGTCGTAACCCAGCCGCCCAGTCGGACAGCCATGCCGCAAAGCACCTTAAAACGTTTACGGCTTACGTGCAACATGGGCCGGGCTTTTACCGACTTGCCACTTGCACGTAGTAGCGACGGCAAAAGCCACAAGAGTGTCCCTCAAATTGGCCGCCTGCAACACGTTTCCAGCAGATGCAATTGATTTTCCTCGGCAGCCCTATGTGGGCATCAGTCCTACATTGTGAGCTGGGATTTCTATTGAAATAATCAACAATTCATATTATTGATTTGCTGATGTAGATTTGGCTGTATGATGTATGTTTTGCCGCTTCATAGAGGCAATAAATTTAAAATTTTTGCAAAGTGCCATGAGGATGATACGAGTGAAATATGTTCGAGTGTGCTGGCACCCCTACGAGTCCATGAGTGTGAGTGTAGCACTTTTTGAAACGGGCACTCGGCCTTCAACCGGAAGCGACTTACGCACGGCTGCATCACGCCGGAAGTCGGGCGAAGAACGGGATAGAAACAATGGCAGTAGGATGGAGAGCTGAGTTCCCACACGAATGAGTGTCAACATGTTGATAACAAAATACATGCAACCTAGTTGCAGAGAAAGCTAAAAAAAACTTTTAGCAAAATGACAAAATGAAAAATACAAACCGTTAGGAAGAGGAAGGGAATTTTCCACACACAGAACTTGCCACAAAAGGTTGCATAATAATATAAGTTCCAACATTGAGTCCTAAAATGTTTACTGCTGAAACTATTTTAAAAGTAAGACGAAGATTTTTGTAAGTTTAATTCTTGTGCTAATATTTTCATATGACTGTCGAGGGTCAAAAGTTTGCTTAACAGTGAAGGGCAAATTTGCAATCCGATGTCCGTCCATCTGTCCGATTTTCTCTCCGTCCGTTTTTACGTAACCTATAGCTTTTGAGAGATAGGGAAGCATCCCTGTAGGCCTTTTCCATTGGGTATTGGTGTTATTTTTGTAATGTTCCACCATCCAGGGCAGGTAAAAAAGGTAATGGCAGATTTAAGAATATGTGTAATAAAGAATTGTCCTTTTGGCAGTAGTATTAATCGATTTTTGAAAAGTCCTTAAACTCTTTAAAGCCGAACTTTACACTGATTCTGACATTGTGCGCTCCTAAAAAGGAATTATGAACAAATCAACATTAACCTAATGGTTGAATTGAAATCTCAATGCTTTATGGGAATAGTATGCAACCAAATGTTCAAAATAAGTGAAAAAACCTTCTAACAAGGCAAGATTTATTAATTAAACTTGCTTTTATTCTTCACTCTGCAAGGGAGTTAAAATATGTAGCTGCAGTGGACTAAATGGAAAATTTTTAGAAAATATATTTGCATGTTCCAACGTCTTTTTTTATCTATACAATTTTTTTTGAAAAATGTTGTGTGTTACAGCTTTTTTTACCTTAAAAGAAATGTTTTTGATATTACTTATTGTGGTTTGTAACAAGACTTCCATAGTCAGCAGGCGGTACTCGTTAGCAGTACAATTGCAAACATGCAAATCGTTTTGTTTTATTTTGCTATGAGGAATTTTTCAATGTTACATTGTTTGGTGTAAAAATGAAAACCATTTTATGAAAACAATAAAATTTGCTTTTGGCTGCGGAAGCAAGCCAGAATAAAAGCAGAACAATACAAAACAGAACACAACAAAAAACTCCAAACAATTTGGTTAGGTAAAAATTAATGAAATTTATGTTAGCAGCTGTATAAAACATTTCCATTGTTCCCACATGAAACTTTTAAAGCGAGGCTTGTGTTTCTTTTATACATTTTATGTTAATTTATAGTTGCGGACGTCGGTTTAGGTAAAAGTCGAGCAGCAACCCGACAGCGACCAAAAGTTTATGCATTGTAATGCGTTCCAAGGAAGAGTGCACAGTGATTGCTCCCAAAAGATGACTCAGCCGAATGATAAACACTCTTTCCTTTCCCTCGCCTTCTTTTGCGGAGCTATTGAAGATTATTTGTGTGTCATTGGCTATTTAAGCCAAAACTCCCCTTGCGGCGAGTGTTTTGCGGGGTTATTTGGGTGTGGTGTCATTTGTCTTCTTCAGGCCATGGGGCTATAGAGCTGACATTCAGGTTAATTAAAGTTTATGTGTAGAAAATAGCTTTGCTTGGCTTTGGATTATGGGTATAACATCCTTGGGGTTCTACAAGTCATCGAATCATTGGTAGAGGTGAATTAAATTTCAAACATCTTCGCTTATATTTCTTCTTAAATTAAATGCCAGCTATTTGGCAGGACTAAATATTGTACATTTTTTTTCAATTTAATTTTTTAAACGCCACAAATCATTGACCACAATACAACTTCCATCGGACTGTGAATATCTTTCTACATGCCCTTAAGCTATCGTTCGCGGTACGTGCATTTTGCATAATAAGCTGCTTATAAGGCGTACCAAGAAAAAAAAACCAGAAAAGGAAAAAGAAAACCTTGTCATAACTTATATCGAAAATGTAATGCTATTAACACTCCACTCCACTCAGCCACTGCACCTGCCACCCCATGGGGCAATTTGCATATAACAACCCAGTCATGTTTAAAGTGTTGAATCCGCGCCGCCCCCTTTTCCACCGCATGCAACATTTTGCATAATAAATATATTAGTATTTTGGGTTACCTGCATGTTTTCCCCTCACAACTACAAGAATGGAAACAAAGTCGCTGCAATGTTGCCGTACATGTAATTAGAAACTTACATTGCCTGCTTTTGGCAGTGGCCTTTGTTTATGCAAATATTTAAACACTAGACTACTTAACCCACATTCAAATGCCAGAGAGGCCTAGCACATAAGCACACAAGCTGCCCGAAAGTATGCATCACCCCGAACATGTGTCATATTATATAAGCACTAACACACACACAGTCATGCAAGCGCTTACAAGGCTAAAAGCACAACACACCGAATTGGCACTAACAACAACACAACAACACACAAAGAAGATGAACAACACCCACCACAGCAACAACGAAATGTTTTAGCAAGAACTGCATTTTAAAATATTGTGTGTGTTTTTTCTTCCCGTTCCAACCCCACTCTATTCCAATTTAGCGCTTGGCCTAAAAGTATGCTGCATCATTAGTGTCAGAGCGGAGGACTCCTCACACCAACACCAACGTCTACACCAACGACTACACCAACGAGACACAGGAAAACTGGGCTGGCTGCAGATGCAAAAATTGAAAATGTATGCTCATTAGTAACGGCAGACGCGGTAAGCGGAAAAAACTAACAGCAAAAGCGCATTGCAAGGACCAAAACGACAAGTTCCTAAGTCAAACGCCAACCCCAAAAACAACGACCATTCATAATTAGCAGCAACAACAGTAAAAACGACAGCAGAAGGTGGCAGATGGGCAGCAAGAGAGGACAGCTGCCAAAAGTCAAGGACGAGCTTTAAAATAATTCGCGAAAGCATGGCCAACGGAAGTGACTCCAGTTATATCGAGCTCCACAAGATGCCAGCAGCCTCAGCGAGCTGATTCTGAGAACAAGACAAATTAGAATAGCTCGCAAATTATCGCCGGCGAAATTTATTCGATTAGCAATCTAAAAAGCATACAGCCAGCAAAGAAGCGCCGACAGCGACAACAGCCGGCGGCCCTTTAATTTGTCAAGCATCCACCACCCCATCGGACTTCCGCAAAATCCAGCGCCTTAAGCCGACAAACATCAAGTCATGCCTGAGCAGGATAATTACGATGATGAGGTAATTTTTTGTTTGCTCACAAAGCCAACAACCGGCGGAAAACAGTACGCTGGGGCTGAGCAAAAAATGAATATGTTTTGAGCCCAAATATAATTAGGCATAATTAATTTAAAAAACAAATATCCGTGTGTGCACGTGCCGGGTTACCCAGTTCCGTTTCTTTTTCCCTGAGTAACAGAGATTAGTCGAGCGTATTGAAATGCAGGGAAACCTAAGCTTAGTGCTTGGATTATAATTTCAAATTGCTTAATGACTGAGAAAATTGAAAAGCGGCAGGAGAATACATTAAGGAATGTTGGTATTCAAAAGTGGGCCAGCATAATGTAGGGGTTATTGTTCTGCAACGTAATTAACTTTTTAATAAGCTTAATCTTTTCGTAGAAATTCTGTTATTATTATTTCTTTAAAGTAGAGTACTATTACCTGGATACCAATAATTAAAAGTCAGTTATTCGAGCCATAAATGCGTCCTCGTAATTATAAATATAGACTTCTTACAGTACGGGTAGTGAAAATAAAAGTCTAAAGTCTGTGCTTAACTAATATTGATGGAACGGTTTTCATACAAATTAAATTTAAATTAGCCGAACTATTAAAATAGTAGCTACGCTAGCACGCCGAATTTTTAATACAGTCATACCGAAAACTGATGACAGCGATGGTCTTTTAGAGCTTCATCAGTATTTGTTTTGCAATAATTCTAACTCAGCTAAACTAAAACGATATGAATTTAAGCAAACGACCATACAATTGAAGGGTCCAGGGCGATTGCACCTTTCTGAAACATGGAATTGATTTCTAAATGGTTAGTCGAAAGGATCTTTTCACGGCCTTGAATAAATTTCAATTTCATCAATTGAATTGCAGATAGAATATTAAGAACGAACGGCAGCTTTCCGGCAACTCTTCGGGAAAGCCCTGATTGGTTAGCCCAGAGATTATCTTCGCAATTGGACTTGTTATTAGGTCCACTTGGCCGACAAGCTGACTAAGCTCTTACATCGCCACTTCAGTCGCGACTTACTCTGATTCCAACTTTGAGAAGTGCTTCGAGGAGACGGAAAAGTTCACTCCACGACTCGTAGCCGGTCAACTTGAGCTTCCTCCCAGCACTTTCATCATCTTCTTCCGATTTTCCGCTGACTTTGATGGTCAGCTTTTCCCGCTTCGCTGCATTCCTTGCGGCGCTGCGGAATCAACTGTGCGGCTGCGATGCTAATTGAAATAAATTCCGCATGTTATTCAAATGCAGAGCGCCGACAGTGCTGGCTACAATTGCGAAATTGAATTAGCCATGCACCGCATGTCTGCGAGTGTGTGCGCTTTGCATACTAAGTTGTCTGAGAGGAGGCCTTTCATTTTTATCGCGTCGCGATTTGCTGGCGATTTGGAGTGTCAAACGGCTGCAAAGATAAACAGACAGTCGAAATGGCCAACGACCATTTGAGCGGAAGTCAATTAGCCGGAATTTCCACTCCGATTTTTTTCCGACTCAAGTGTTTGCCATCCACTATGGGATAGTGCGTTCCATCTATATAAATTGTTTTAACTATGATAATGCTGGCTGACAGGTGTATTTGTGCAAGAGAGTGCGCGTTAATCAGTTAAGAAGGATCTAAAGAGCAATTGGCAATATTTGCAATAGCAGGAAATTCGGTATCACTCTAGTTTACAGGTCCAAAGAATTGTTAAGGTTTCGGTGTTAATTATACAAATCAATGTTTAGTGATATACAAGTAAAATTCTAAAGTTCTTGAAAAATCTTGACAAATCAAGAAACCAAGTCTTAGGAGAAAAAAACTAGAAAATTAGTGAAAATTGCTTTGATGTGAAATTTCCATCAAATGTCCTTAGACTTGCAAATAAAATTGATATGTTTGTTATTCGTTATTTCCTCTTCATTCAATTAATACTCTTTTGGTCTGAAATAAATCAAGTTTATCCAACCATAAAATCGTAAAAGTACAACTTCGGGGGGATAAGATATGGTTTAAAATAATCACTCTTGCTTGAACTAACGCGACCCCAAGTCAGTGACTGCACATCGCATTCAATTGTGTCGGCGCTGGCATATTACATTTTATTTTGACAAATTCAGGTAACCTAACGACCGCCGACAGGCTCGACACCTGCAGCAGCAGGTTGGAAAAGGAGAAAACAGAAAAATAAGCAATCATGGCCGTGTAATGGAAGCTCAAGTGTGTGTTGACGCAGAGGAGAGCGTTCTCCCACCCAGGTCGCCGAGTACAGGCGACACCCGCCCACGTGACAGTTAAAGCAAATGCTACGCCGTTATGGCCTTGAGCTAAACTGCCGTTGACAGCAGCACCCAATGCCGGGGACAGGTGGGCGGGCGTGCAGGTAGACAATGGGGCCGGCATGCCGGAAAGCCAGACACAGACGGGCACACACACCCACACACACACACACACACCCACACCCACTCCAACAAAAACACAACCGCAAGGAGCGTGCAAGGATGCACTGAGTTGCATCCCTTTCACAATTGCCCGCCACAGCCAAAGACTGTTTATGGATTCCACGTTTGGCAGGAAGGCAGCAGGCCGTAAAGATTGCCAACTAATGTCGCCCCCAATGCGAAGGCCAATATGCCAGTGTGGAATGCTACCTTGGGTGCAGGTCCTCCAAGGTTTCCAATACTCACGAGCGAGGAAACAAAGTGAATCAGCGAAAATGCAGTAAGTCAGCTTTCATTGGCTCCGAAGGCTTTCATTGCCTTTATTGCCTTTGAGTGCAAAGCAAACATTACTAGACAAACTTCGACGAATTTTATTCGAAAGTTTCAAGCGCGTCAAAGGGCGGAGGTCAGCTCAATTTTGAGTACAAACTATTGCAAATTTGGTGACGGTGGGAGAAAGCTATTATGACCAAAATTGAATTTTCTTTTTAATTGTTAAATTAAAATGAAAGAGCTTGAATATATTTGTGAAACTGTATAATTTCTTGTTGTAATTCCCTTAACAGGTGTTTTAAATTACTACTAAGGCTGTAAAAAAACACAGTTATGTTACTTATTAAAGTCTATAAAAATGAACTAAGCATAATTAAACCTTTGGCATACGAATCAAAGAGGCACATGAATTAATGGAAGCAAAATCCTGTCCAAGTCCAAAATGATCCGTGAATATAGTATACTTTTGTATAAAAGATTAAGAAAGTTACCATCTGTTATAATTGATTTTAGAAATTTAATTTCAAGATGGAAGTTTCTAATCCCCCAAAACAAAGACCATTATATAGCTGACCTCCTTTTTGTGACCCAACAGATGGCTTTTAATGCGACGAACTGGTCCATCTTTATCTTTGCTGAGCCAACTAGCAAGTTAATTGAAAACGACACTTTCACTCTCTCCCCGTCCAAACTCATTTCCCCTTTCGTTCGACAAATACTATACCTGGCAGCCATTTTAATGCGCTTAAAAGTATGCTGCAAAGAATTTTAACGCTCAGAGCTTAATAACTATGACAACTTATGCAAATAACTGGAGGCTCTCCACCCACCCACCCATTACCCACCACCCGACCGCGGTTCTCCAACCTCCAAACCACCAACAGCTGGCTCTTTCAACTTTCTGCACTCGAGGAGGAGCAAGCAAAGTTTGCCCAGCTCAGCTCGACGAGCTCAACCGCAAAAGGCAGCTAATGCCCTACTTGGGATTGTGGGTGTATGTGGGTGCCATGAGTTTCCCATTCGCATTATCTCTGCCCCCTGGCCAGCTTAGAGAAAGCGAAAGTGAAAGTAGTCGGGGGTGAGAAAGAGAGAGCAGGACATAATTTGGTTATTCTCTGCTTTTAAGATTGGTCGGCGTAAAGTTTCCAGCACTTCGCATTGGCTTAAATTAAAACTCTGAACGATGAACGATAAAAACGAATACTTTAGCAGTTCGGTTTTGCTGTGGATTAAATCTCAGGTAACCAAGAATCTAATCAAGTCATACTTCTGAGCTTTTTTTCCCATGGGAAAAAGATGCTTCCCCTTTTGCGGACACAAAGAGAATGAAATGATAACAATGTTAATCCGCAATCCCAAGATAATCAAAAGTCAGCAAGAATAAGAACAAACAAAAATTCGAAAAAGTCCGTAAAACGAGGACATGGCAATCGCGTTTTTATTTTCTTGTGCACTTAAATTGCTATCCGTTTCCAATACCATTTCCTTTGGTGCACTTCATTTTCATAAGTCGAGTGACGCATTGTGAGCAATTTTGGTTACCATTGTTTCCGATTCGAACCGCAAGGTTTTCGATGCCAAAACGAGTCTGTAAGCAAGCGGCCTTCGCTTTTATTTTCTGTTGCTCCGCGAAACCAATATCGCTGGGCATCTAAAAGCTTTTGTTCGGTTAAAATCGTTTATTTATGGCCTATTTATAATTGTTGTAACATTGTGATCGATTTATTAACATACAAATGGCAATGTTATTGTAGTTATAGTTATAGTTAAATGTCATAATGTCTTTTGTGACTGATTTATAATCTGCCTCAAGAAACCAAACAGTTTAAAACTTCATAGTGTTTTGAAAGTTAGAAGCTTTTGGCAACTATTTCGAACCACATTTAAGAGTCAGCCACATTTTTTTTCACAAACAACTTAACTTGCCCTGTTAATATTGACTGAAAAATATATTCTACCACGACCTGGGCTAATAGCAAGGCATTAAACATTAATTAAAATTAATAAGAGAAGATGCTCATGTGCTCCGAACGTTTTGGTATCCATCGAATTCCTCCATCAACTCAAGAGTCAGAAGTAAACTCATTGAATTCTGCGGCAGGGGACGGCCTTTGCTAAAATTGATGACTGTCATTATTTTTAATTCCTCCAGCGTTAACAGCAACTCATCAAGTTGAGTGTTTAAATTTCATTTATGGCCGTATTTTTGCATATTTACTTGAGCTTGTGTGTAAGTATTCTCCTCCCCGGCAATCAAGCTGAGTGTCTTGTGCTCTCCTGTTCTTTTGCTAGGGTCCTGAGGACTTGACCCTCCTGACGAGTATAAATTCAATTCAATTAAGATAAATGAAGTGTACGCCACGCCGCGTGTGCCCCCAAGAAATCATTTTTATTATGATTGTTTCCACGAAAATATTTTCGAGCAGTAGATCGGCAAAATTAAGTTGCCCGAAAGTTACCCAAGCTGGTGGGCTCTATTGTTGTTTGATAGTTTGGTTTACGTTGTTTTCACTTTGTTTGCGGTGCGAGCCCTGTGTTGGTAATAAATACTGGTGCTGGTTGCGCTTTTCGAAGTAAAGACACACACACGTATGTATGGAGGGAGTGTTGGGAGCCCTTATAAATAGTCATGCAGGTACACGTGTTCCCTCGCAATTTGTCCCGCATTTGTATGTGAGCCGAGTTATTAATTAAGGCTAGCGCTTACCTGCCCGCACTAATGGCCAAAAGGGACGCTTGCGGGTTGAACATGTGTATGCGAATTTAATTGAGCGCTTTCTCTCTTTCTAGCGGCTTCTATGAGTTTAGGCGAGTCAAAATCGATTGGCAAATTCAGTTTAAATAAATCGTTATAGAAGCTAAATCATTTAAATTCAAAATTGGTTGCTATATATTGCTTAAAGGATAATACAAATTTTATTTCCTGTCTCCGCAATTAATTTGATAAGCCTTAGCGTTCTGGCACGCAACTCTTGATTAATACATTGCCATCTTTTCATGATCCAGCAGAGGAGCATAGTTTTATGGGGCCCTAATTAATTATTCGGCTAAGCGGCGTTGTGTGTGTGTGTGTGTGTGCACATGACGGACTGACTGGGACGAAATCAGGCAGAGCGCAGACAAAAGCCTGCCCTCCTCGTAAAAATCGGTATCAACTTGTACGGGCTGCGTGAGTTTAGTTCTTGTCGTGTTTAATTTTGGGCTTCTGTTCTCCTTTGTTGCTTGACAACATTAAATATGCATTAAGCGTTGATTTGCAAGGGGTTTTGGCCGGGCCTGCCTATTCTATATGCTCACAATATAAGGACTGTGTGTTGGCTTAAGGGTAGACATAATATAGAAGGAAAACCGCTCATGGGAAGGGGAAAACTGAATCATCAGTGTACTAATTGCATCTTGGCCAACCAATTATTTGCGGTTTTTGGCCAGAGCCAGTCTTCATAACTTTGGGGTAATGAGTCGCACGTGCTCTTTATGGACCGCATTAGCATTCTATCGTTTTCCAATTAATTTTCTTAATGTTTCACTGCTCTCTCTGACTCTTTTTCTTTTGATTTTGCACAGTTGGTCTCCAGCAATCCCAACCAGAGGAATTGGCGCGGCATTCTCATCGCGCTGTTGGTCATCATCATTGTCCTGGCCCTGATTGTAACTTCGGTGGTAAGTCTGTGCCAACACTTGGCGCAAACGCCAACACAAAACTGTACAGCATGATGTTTATTGTCCTTTGTGGTACAGTCAGGCAACCAACTGGATTGCCTAATTGTGCAAATCGGTGTCACAAATCAATTTATGGGCAATAAAGAAAGATTAAAGTACTATGTGTCTCGCCCCGTTGACAAACATCAATGATTGGCGACCAGACCCAATAATTACCAAAATACTGTCAATTCAAAAGAACAATTGTTTCACGCACAACAAAAGCACCAAAAAAACGATACAAATAGAAACTCAAAATAAAGTAATCCGAATTTAACGAAAACTTCTTTTGCAAAACAGTTAAATTTATTTCTATAAAGTTACCACACAATTTCCATTAGAGTGAAAACTGTTCTGCTTTTCCACTTTAAAATCAGCACATACAAAACAAGTCCCCGCGCGTAATTGGGTGGTAAAAGTTTTCTTTTTTAATTGGCGAAACTCTGCCGTTTGTCAAAAAAGTTGCTTGGCCTGCTTTTGGGCTGTTTCTGTAAATATTTTAGCAACAAATGGTGGGAACGAAAAAGAAATCTTGAACAACCATTCATATTTATGTGTATATTTATATGTATTTACCTATATATATGAAACAATTGTGATAAATTGTTGTGTAAATACGTTACGCTCATTTTTGTCTTTTGTCTGTTTGTTTACTTTTTTGCGATTTTGTGGCTGCCTGATAAATTTACCCACCCCACACCACCGACCATTTTTCTATCTATTCGTTGTTGATGTTGCTATTGATGTTGATGTTGTGTATGTGTGTTGTTCACGTGTGTCTGCCTGCCTGTCTGTCTGCCTGTCTGTGTGAGTGAGTGAGCAGAAGACAACATATAAAATTTCTACATTTATCAAAAAAGGTGCTGCTCACGCCCCCCGATGAGGGCCCGCGGGTCAAAGGGCAGCGCATCAAGCTGCAGGACATCGTCGACGGGGTCTTCCTGCCGCAGCACTCCAACGGCAGCTGGATCGATGGTGAGTCCTGAATGGGTGCTGTTCGTTCGGTCGCCATTCTATCTGGTAAATCGCTTTTAATTTCCGCCCTGCCTTCGTTTCGTTCGTTTTTTTGCAGGCGAGGAGTTTCTGTACCAGGACCATTTGGGTCGCATCTGTCTGCTGAGTGCAGCCAATCGCTCGGAACGTGTCCTCATGTCCAATGTGACATTTGTAAGTACATTTTGCCAATCCCCCTCGCCACCGCCCACCAGTGCGCTGCTTGTTTGCTTATTGCTTATCTCTCTGAGCAGAATAAATATTTGCCCCATCTTATTTACGAGTCGGGGAGTTCTAGGAGTCCTAGATGTGGTGGGTGGACCTGCCGCTAGGCAGATATCTCAAGTGCACACACTCGACTTGGCAATGTTAACTGATATTATGGCGCGCACAACAGCGAGCTGAGCGAAACAAATGGGCCAAGTTATCGTTAACTGAGTGCGGCGATAGCGATAAAAGGCAAAAGATTTCTATGTCAATGACTGGGTAAACACATGTGGTGGTGGGGCACCGGGTGAAAGGCTTTCTAATGAATAATGCGCGAATGGAATTGGAAGAGAATCAAATAAGGGAAACCGAAGGCAAAGAAAACGAATGAACTGCTGCCAGACGAGACGAGACTGAGACTGAGAGGTCAGGGCAAGGCAAGGAAGCGCTTTCTTGCCAACTTGGCAAGCGCACATTTCGAGTGCCTCGAGGGGCCAAAATATGCAGACAAGAAGTGCAACAAGTGCAGCCACCGCAAGTCAACAGTTGCCAGTTGAGTGCGAAATAATTAATGTGCAGCCGAACCAAAGAAACACGAGTGAGCAGTCGAAACGACTTGATGGCAATGCATATTCATAGTGAGCTCAGGATCTGGCATGATGTTACTTTGCCTACAAACTCAAACAGTAAATGCGCTATGAATATGCGCTTAAAGCTTAGCTCCACTCCTCATTTGTTGGCCCGGGGGGAATTATTTTCAGATTGTTTTCCCAACCAAATTAAGGCAGAAACTCTTTGACAACACTTCCGTTACTCAGACCCGTAAACAATGCCGCAAATTTCGAAAATTTCCGACGAGCCACCAACAAAACTTCCGCAATTTTGCGTGCAAATCAGAAAAGACCATTAAAATTTTAATTAAAATTACGTATACGCAACGTGTTGGCATTGTAACAGCCGCATTGGCGGTGGCAGGCGGTGGTTCCCCACCCCGGTTTTCCGCATAATTTGCAGCAAACATTTAACACCACTCCGCTTTAACAGAAAACCCTGGCACCCTTCACCTTCACCATTTCGGCGGACAAGCGTTATCTGCTGCTGGCCCAGAATGTTGTGAAATTGTTTCGGCACTCGTACTTGGCCCAGTACACCCTCTACGACATCCAGACCAGGTGAGTTCGAGTCCGGAGCCGTCCGACCGTCCGCAGTAAAGCCCTTTTCCCGTAATCCCCGTCAGCGAGAGCATCAAGCTGCGCCACAGTCCGCACCTGGACGACTGGCCCTACCTGCTTTACGCCCGGTTCACCCCCGCCGGGAACGCCCTGGTCTGGGTACAGAACTACGACATCTACTTTAGGGAGGAGGTGCGCAGCCCGGCGGTGCACCGGATCACCCATGACGCAGTGCCCGGAGTGGTGTACAACGGCATACCGGATTGGCTGTACGAAGGTGAGGGGAATTTTGCTTTTAATATAACTCTAAGAAATATAGACAATACTAAGAAATATTGCAAACCAATCTAAGTCTCCAAAGTCACGTTTGACGATCCGCATTGGCATATGAATATAAAACAAAGTGTTTATATCTCTTTGCTTAAAACAGCTTCTCACAATCTGCTCAGAATATGTGTGTTAAGCTTATGATGAAAAAAAACTGTATTTTTCTTTTGCCAATCCGGAAAGTCAAACGTGATTTTGGACCCATTATTTCAATTGCAATATTGCTTGAAATTGTCTATATATTTGTTTACCCATACTATTAAGCTTTTTTAAGTATTAATAAAAACGACCAATCTTAAAAGTTTCACAAGGACCAGAATTTTCCTATCGCAATGAGGAGGCTCAAACGTGATTTTGAAATATAGCTTTTTAATTTTCTGATATTAAAATCAATTCCAAAAATAGTCAAATAAAAAAAATTAATTTAAAATGTAAAATACCTAAAAACCGTAATTGATGAACCCCAAATCAAACCATATTAAAATTGAGTGGGAATCACTTGGACTCATCTCGATTTCTTTTTACCACTATTTAATCTTTTAAAATATAGTCCGAAAATAAATTTTTTTATATCTTCAGATAGTTTGTTTTTAATGCTTGTTCATTTACACAAACATTGTTAAAGGTTTAAAATCTTAGAAACCCAAGTTCCCTACAAGCAAATCTAAGATATTCTTTTTCAACACCCTGTTAAATATACACGATGAGTAATTTAAACGTTCTTGAAACTCAGTGCCCCATACTGCGTTATTCGCAAACTGCGCTCGTTGTCCGATATTATACTCAACGGTTTTTTTTCCATTTTCCATTGCTTCGCATTTCGCAGAGGAAATCCTTCATGCAAATAATGCGATTTGGATGTCGGACAATGGCCAACTGATGCTGTACGCCACCTTCAACGACACGCACGTCCAGGAGCAGCACTTCGCCTGGTATGGGACGACGGGTCCCTCCGGCGGAGCGGCGGCAGCTGCAGCTGCGGCGGCCGGCGGAGGAGGGGCAGGAGCCGGATCGGGGGGCGGGGGAGCGGGCGCCTCGTCGAGCGGCAGCCATCCGCATGCCAACCTGTACCCGGAAATCAGGTCCTTACGGTAAGTTGTGACCCCATTAGGTAGGGAACTTTGGCTATATCACTTTTCGATTATGTGCTAATGATGCCTCGTCTCCCTCGTGCCGTCGCAACGTCTAATGGCCTACTAGCATCACGCTTAAAATTCATGAAGTGACAGTGGCGAAACCTTTTCACAGGTGGACTCATCCTAATCCGGGGAGCTGTCCTTTTGCCACCTCCCAATTGGGGTGTGCTCATAGTTGGGGCATGTGAATTAGAGTCTGAGCACAAGACAAAACAACACTTTGGGCACCTAAGCAAGTGTGACGTATTTGGGTTGATCCCCTGTCAATTGTGTATGATAAATTGCTAGAACGGACTTCGAAAGGTCATCGTCCCATTTAGGATGGCTTGAACCATCCTGCAGAGTGAAAATAATGAATGGGAATATAGGTTGATTAAGGCTTTTATTCCCTATTCATACTGTTTTGTTTTCATTCTTTGATAGCTACCCCAAACCTGGCACTCAAAATCCCACAGTAACTCTACGAGTGGCCGACTTAAAGGATCCACAGAATGTACGCACCACCGACCTTCACCCGCCACAAATTTTGGCTCATGAGTAAGTTTTTGTTCCCTTGCTTAGAATACTTCAATTAGAATTTCAAAAAGACATCTGAAAGTAGGGGTGCTCACAACTATCTAGCGAAAGTCAGTGTAAAGTCGAGAAAAGACAAAAACAAATTGCTGAAAAAGAAAACTCAATGCATTTGTTATTTACTTACACAAAAAAGCTTACCTAAATGTGTTGAAATTAACTAATTTCTTACATTTTTCGGAACCATTTAATTTGTTGCCTCAGGGATCACTACTTCAGCAGCGCCAGTTGGGTGAGTCACTCCAAGATAGCGGTGGTGTGGCTCAATCGTCCGCAGAACATCTCCGTGGTCAGTGTGTGCAAGGCTCCGTCGTTCGAGTGCATTGAGGTGAGTCCAATTGGGCGCTTCCGATCCACCGAGCCACCAATCTCCTAATGAACTCCATCCGCATTGCAGACCCACCGGGTGAGCGGGGACGGACGTGGCTGGGTGGACACTGTCGCAGTGCCACTGTTTGCCGCCAATGCCAGCATCTACGTGGCCATCTCCCCGCTCCGAGACGGCCTGTTTGGTAAGTCAGTGAGATGTCAAATTGGCCTTTGTTTCCCGAGTGACAAAGCCTGCTTTCTCTTCTCCCCTTCTCTTCTGCAACCAATACCTCTTAATCACAGGATATTTCCGGCACATCGTGCACGTGGACATCGACAAGAACCGGGTGCTGCCCCTCACCCACGGGCCGTACGAAGTGAATCGATTGCTGCACTGGGACCAGCTGGATAATTGGATGTAAGTGATTGCGCACATGCGAAACCGTTTTCCTTCCGTGCATTAAGTGAATAGTTATGGGCACAATAGCATAGTCGTTTATAATATGTGAATGCTGAAAGCGGTTACGTTGCCTACATATATGCAACTATAATGTAATTTCACCATATTTATACAAGTACTACAGTTTTTTAGAAATACAGGCAGCTGGAGTGGGTACTTCTAAAAAATCAGTTCTTCATTAATAAAGATGCCGCTATCGGGTTGACCTCTTTCAAAAAAATAAAAATAACAAAATAGCGCCGACCTAAAAACAAAATATGTTTTTTACATTTTAAAAATTCTTATAATAAAAATGTTTTTAATCCTAGGCAGACTCGATAGAGAATCGATTAAGTAGAGCTTGAAATATCATGTCAACCACCTCAAAAAAGGTAGTTTCAGGAAAAACGCGTTTAAAGTTTAGGAAACATTTATTAAAACTCGTCAGTATCTCCAAAAAAAAATTGAATTTTGAAAGATCTTTAAAGGAACATATTTTTGAAAGTATACGCTTTTAAAACCTGCAAAAAAATCGATTTGTATTTTGATTTCTAGACCAGTATACTCCCTTAACATACTTTTACAAAAAACAGTTTCGAGCTTATCTGATGGCAATAACTAGGAGAAAGTCAATTTATCCATAAGTTTTGTAAGGTTAATTTTTTACCTTTTATATTTGAAATCTACAGACATTTTTGAAACAAAGGTAGTGAGTGATAAGTATTACAATTTGTGTCTTACCTTGCAGCTACTTCCTGGGCACTCCGGAGCGCCTTCCCTCGCAGCAGCATCTGTATCGCGTATCCGCCCTGCCGGCACGCCAAGGTCAGGCCCTGCACTCCCCCGACTGCCTCACGTGTCCGGCGGTGACGCAGTGGGCCGAGGGCTATGACGAGGGCCACACCAAGTCGCCGCCCAAGCTGGTGACCGCCTGGGACGACGACTGGGAGGACTCCGAAGAAGCTGAGGCGCAGCCGCCGCAGCCAGCACTGCCGGTGGAGCAACAGCAACCGGGCAGGGGTCAGAGTGCTCCTCTGCCACCACCTCCCAGTGACTGCCTGTTCCACGAGGCACAGTTCCCGCTCTCCCGGCAGGCAAAGTACGTTCTGGTCGACTGCCTGGGTCCAGTGGTACCCACCTCGATTATCTACGGCCTGAAGTCCACCGCCCCAGAAGCGGCCAAGGTAAGGCGGAGGAGCACTCAGCAGGAGGTACCACCCACGGAGGGGGGTGGGGAGAAAGGGCCGGAAGAGCCGAAGTCACAGTTTCTGGAACTGCTGGTCACCGTGCAGAACAACACCCGGCTGAAGGAGAAGATGGCCAAGACAGCCATGCCGCAGATTAAGACCTTTCCCGTAATGATCTCCGGCGGGTACCATGCCCAGGTGCGGCTCTTCCTTCCGCCCGTTCTGCGCGAGGACGAGATCACACGCTATCCCACCATCCTGCACGTGTACTCGGGTCCGGGCAGTCAGCTGGTCACCGACCGCTGGCACGTCGATTGGAACACCTATTTGGCCGGCAGCAAGGACTACATTGTCGTGGAGATCGACGGCCGGGGATCCGCGGGCCAGGGCTACCAGCTGCTCCACGAGGTCTACAAGCGTCTGGGCAGCGTCGAGGTCTCCGACCAACTGGAGGTCAGTGAGTACCTTAGGGACAACCTGCACTTCATCGACTCACGACGGATGGGAGTCTGGGGCTGGAGCTACGGCGGATATACTGCCGCATTAGCACTGGCCGGACAGCAGTCGATTTTCCAATGCGGCATCAGTGTATCGCCGGTCACCAATTGGAAGTTGTACGGTGAGTTAAAAGAATATCCTGCCCCGATAAAAAAATGGAATAGTAAAATAGTAAATAATAATTTAGTTAAATACTAAATGCATATTAAATTGCATATTTTAGTTATTATTGAAAATGTTAGATTTAAAATTCTTCATATTTGATAAAAGTGCATTTAATTCAATTTAATTAATAAATGGTTTAAATTTAATTTTAGTTTAAATATTAAAATCAATTCCTAAAATAGTCAAAGGAAAAACTTAATAACATTTTAACACTTTCATATTTAAAATAACTAAAAACCGCAATGGATGAAAATCAAAGGGAAAATATAGAAAATAAATCTTTAAAATCTATTGGCGTTTCGAAACTAGTTTTGTAATATATTTTAAAGTGATTTCAAAACACAAGTGATTTCTGTGGCACGTCCTATAAAATGTCTAGTCTAGGCCGAATTCTAACTCCTACAAAACATAATCTTTCCTTGTAACTTTAATTAATTATAAGTAATTCAAATTCTTTAACGTGTTTCATTTTAGACTCTACGTATGCCGAACGCTATCTGAGTTTTCCAAACGTGACGGATAACTACAAGGGCTACGAGGAAAGTGATCTATCGAAGTACGTGGACAATCTGCGGGATCGCCAGTTCCTGTTGATCCATGGAACCGCCGACGACAATGTGCACGTGCAGCAATCGATGGTGCTGGCCAGATCGCTTACCAGCAAAGGGGTGCTTTACAAGCAACAGATATATCCGGACGAGGGACACAGCTTGTCGGGGGTAAAACGGCATTTGTACCGCTCGATGACCGCCTTCTTTGAGGATTGCTTCAAGAAGCTGGTAAGTGGAACCTCCAGTCCTACCAAAAATTATGTATTATATTCCACTCTCCTACCACAATTATATATATATATATAACTCTCTCTATTTCTCCTGCTCTCCAAATAAATACAAACCCAATAACTCACCTCCAAAATAATACCACAACCACTGCCATTTCCTTTCTGTTACGTTTTCGGTTTGGTTCTCGACCTCCCCCCACCGCGTAGATTGATCAGCAACAACAAAATCAATCAGATTCCATGGATTTTCTGGACTTCCATAGTTTTTATGGGCGCTAAGTTTGATTCCATATCCCACATCCTTCAGATAATAGGTACAGTCGCCGTTGCCAGTTTTCTTTCATCATGTTCGTCGTCGGTTTCTCATTGTTTTCAATTAATTCTTTATATCGTTATTATTGTCGATGTTGTCATTAGTCGGAGGTTCACTCACTCTGTAACCAAGTATTCGCTGTTTCAATGTCTTATTGGGAATATCGGTTGGGGCCATAATACAATTACTTGCTTTCTTATCTTTTAAGTGTTAAGATACCCGTCAATGTTTGATGTTTAAAGTACTTTTAAGCCTCTTACCCTCATTAGTTTTCTTTTTTTATTGTTGCACGTTGATGCACTATAAGCAGTACAAATAAGTAATATTTTAAAATAAAACAGAGACGATTCCGATTTTGGAGACAATTATATCCAGTTATCTTTGCTTGTAAACAAATTTGTTTAAATAAAGTTAAACCAATAATAAAACTATTTTTTAATAATTGCAAAATATTTCATATAAGAAAAAAAAATTCTTGACTTAAAGCATAAATTTTCTAGTTAGAAAGTACCTTCCTACCCAAATGTTTTCTTTTGCATCCTATCTGCATAAGCTTTGTGTTATAAGTTTCCATGTCTTCCCAAAAACTTTCCCATTTCGTTTTGTTTTTAATTCAATATTAAACGCGTTGAGTCTAAATTACACTTGTTACACTTTAGGCTTTAAATGGCTTACCAGCCAAACTTCATTTTCGGTCCCTGTCCCAGTCATAATCGTATGTGTTTGCCGTTCGTTTGTTGCCCGTTTTCTGGGGCCGTTGAGATGGGCGGAATTTTGCGGCTCTCAGTTGAATTAAGTTGTGTTTATATTAGTTTTCGGTTGGTCTTTCCTTTGGATTATTTTTGGCTCTTGCCTGCTGCAAGTTTTTCTTATGAGTTGTACTATTCTCCTCCGTTTGCGAGTTTTTTTCCATTACTATTCCGAAAGTTTCGCCTTGAATATGTTTTTGCGTTTGTCCTGAGTTCACGTTGATCCTCTGTTTGATTCAAACAAATTGTTTTGGCTGTCCTACATATATGTATCTATCCTTTGGCGTTCGTTTGTGTGTGGGCTTGCGTGCATTTCGTTGGGACTTGTTGTTGCTCGATGTGTTTTTCTTTACGCAGGCTAAATACACACCCCAGACACATTACACACACACCTAAACTTGCTAATTTACCTAAATGTTTGCTTATGCCTTGATTGTGCTTAACTATTCCACCTAAACCTAAGCCCACTGTCCGTCTAACAAATTCCTATTCCACTTTCATTCTATCTACGCTGTCTGTCGATTAATGTAGACAAAATAACCCTATTCAATGTGGTGGACTAACGGAACACTCTCTACTTTCCAACAACAGGTGCCGCCGGAATCGAAGGCTGGTCTGGGCAATGGCGGCGATATGCAACAGTAATAAACATGAATTATGGAATCAGCAACACCCAGAATAAAATATAAGCAACGTAATTCTGATAACAAAACTTCAACCGGAACGTGCGAACGAAATGCTTTTGCAAATTGCATTAAATGTGATTTATCATAAACACACACACAGAACTCAGACGCGCACACACACACACACACACACACAGAGCTGTTAAATGGCAACTCAAATTGCCGACCAGCACCAACACCAGCAAGGACAACTAAGTTAAATGACATTTTGTGTAAAATTAATAAGGAAAACAGCAGCAGCGAAAGCGAAATGCCGAGTAAGTGTGCACAAAAAGAAGCACAAACAACAAACAAACCAATGTATGTATGTGCATGCAGACAGAGCGAACAAAATCAACACGGTTGTGAAAACATAACTCACACAGGCACAGACCCCGACACACATACACAGAAAGAGAAAGCGAATCACATACACGGAAACACAAGCACAATCGCAGAGAGAGCACGCACAAAAGTAGGCAATGAAAATTTACACATGCCACTTCTCTCCAGTGGTGACAGGTGTGACATTTCAATGCCCTGACAGCTCCCAAATAGTCAGTACTTTAGCGTTTTCTTATTTTATCAATACTTTTTATTTTATTAATATTAATTATAATTGAATTTAATTTAAAGTTAGAATGAGCTTTTAACAACAATTTCCTTTTCTTTTTAAGAACTTAAGACTCAAATGAAGAGAATGACAGAAAAATCACAACGGTTTTGAAACGGTTTGCAATGAAAAATAGGTAATGCAACTATCGGACTTCCTGATCAAAAATATATATATATATTGCTTACACTTCGATCGTTTTATTTTTAATTTTTTTAGTACTGGAAGAATTTAATTCAATAACTGTGCACGACTATTTGGATAGTCGGCTTGTAGAGGATACACTTTCTTTTTGGTTATTCATTATTTGCATAAATTTTCAATGAAGCAACCGGAATAAAATTGAAAAACAAATTTATTGAAAACGCTACACGTGAAACAGCTGAGGTTCAAACTGCTCTGCGAGAACGGAAACGACCAGCATAAATCAAAGCTGAAAGCGTTCTACATGACATTTTCTGATAGTCAAACGGTTTTATCATTTGCCAAGGGAAAGTTTTCCAAAAATTATTTTGGATCATAGGGGGGCGGAAACTGGCCCATAAATTGCGACTGAATTTATGGACCAAGGACATAATTGAGTCTGGATTTGCAAACTGTTGAAAGACCGGATGATTGAAGTGAAAATTTGTGTACTAACCTCATTCCAAGATTAAATATTCATTCAATTTAAATAAATTGCAGTCCCTGTTTAAATAGATTAAATTACGATTTTAATTTGATTTTCGTTACCCGTAAATTTCATCATAAAAGTTACTGCCCGAAAAGAACAGAACAAAACTGAACACTGTCTGAAAGAAGGGCCAAGTCTCAAAGGAAGTAAAATAACTCGTTTGCAGTAATGTTTAATTAAATCAAACGAAATAAAAACCAGGCAATGGAAACAACATAAATATTTGAAGTGTATTTCAGACAGTCTTCGACACAAACAATTGTTTCAAAATACTTTCAAGTATATGTATACTAATACAGATAGTTTGTTTTTCACAAAACAAAAAGAAATATTATCAAATGGCCAAAGTAAAGTTAAAGGGAGGATTAAATGTGAAAATGAAAATTCCACAACAATTTTAAATCAAACAAACCAATTAAATAGTATTAATGCATGTAAGTAGCGCAATAATATTTAATACAGTTATTTACGAATTTTTGTTCGTTTTGGTTGCCTTTAATTTGCATAAAGAAAAACCAAAGAGTAGTGGCAGTATAGTAGCTTTAGTGGGAATTTAAACTAAAACCGAACATAAATAGTTGATAAAGCGAATGTGAATTAAAATAACAAACAAAAATGAGAAAAAGGTCAAAAATAGCTGCGATACACACTAAACATAAAATGGATAAAAGCAATGCTCAAAGAGGTATTAAACATAAAAGAGGGAGCTGAAGAAAGGCAGATGACACCGCATCGCACATTTCCCAAAAATCTCATTTTTGAGCCCCTTTCCTGCCGTTCATTTCAAACTCAGAAAATGGCAGTGCAAGGATTAACTTTAATTAGATATTTGGCACACTTTTTGAGAACGGAAGTTAATTAGCAACCGTCGCCAAACTCAGGCTCAGTTGCGACTCATAATTCTGTTGGCTGAGCAAGATATTTTTCCAAGAGATGTGGATTTGCACCATGTAGTACTCTGTTTTAAATTTACCTGGCTCTGGCAATTATATATGTGTTTTATTAATGGGTGCAATAAATCAATGCAAACGTTTAACACTATGGCTTAGCCGATTAGAGCAAGTAGAAGAATACTTGAGTACTTAACTAGAATTTCAACAACAACGGTTTAATAAACACGCGCACATTAATGTTTAAAATTCTCATTTGAAGATTTAACTTTCAACAGACAAGCTCCTTCAGAACTCTTTTTTATATGACAGCTAATTGGCACACAAGCGTATTACTTTATTTTGCCATATAAGCCATACAATCTGTTGAAGTTCCCAGTGCACATCACTGCTTTATTTCCCACTAAATTTCTATAAATATGTGTATATCCGTTTACGTTTTCTGCTGCGCGCTATAGCAATCCCAGCGGTCTAGATATTCCCCCAACTTTCAGGCCAATTTTAATAATAAAGCCACGTTGGCCCTAGTGTGGCTCCACAAAATATAAACTCGTCCTTACACCGGAACCCCTTTCCATTGCACAGCCTCAGGTAGGCAGTGATGTGTGCTGGTGTCGGGAAATTGCAAGCCAACATAAATTTATGTCTGCCTGACACTTTTATGTGCTGCGCTGGCGGTTTCAGCTTTTTACATCGCGTTTTTAGACGCTAGCAGAACGCCTGCCAATGTTTGGCTAAGCCGCAGGTTTTCCTGTCCACAATTAACTCGCACAGGTGCCACCTTAACTCACACCTGCCCAGTGGGTGTGAATGTGGGTGTGTTGGGGGCGTGCGACTGTGCGAAAGCGCCTATTTTTAGCCGAAAAGGTAGTCTGTAAGAGGGGCTGTAAAAGGCCAGCTGCTGCTCCTGGTCCCGCCCACCTAGCGACCGCCCTGTTGACACACGAACAAAAAAGGATAAAGGTGTTTGCTTTAAATGGGCCTAGCCCCATTCTACCCCACTCTCGGAGATGAAGCTGTAAGCTGTAAGTGCGATGCTGTGTCGAAGCTAGGCAAATTGAAATGGCTCGAAAACAAAGGAAATACTGAAAACAACAAACATTTAAATGCTTTCAATGTAGTGTACTAAGGACCAATTACCAATGAGACGTGCGGGAATAATTAAATAAATATATATACAAAATACGAAATGTAGCAACGCGCTGTAGAGGATTAACAAAATTTGCAATATATAAATAAACACACATACGACATAGTGAATATTGACTCAAATACCATATAGTAATTATACAAGCTTATATATACCTAATTATATACACAACAACTCAAATAAATATGTATACACATGCGGATATGGTAGTTTAGAGGATCGTTTAGAGGATCGAGCGTTTGCATTATTCGAGTTAAAACCTATAAAACCATGTAAAAGCAAAAAAACAACACTCTGTATTGTTTCAATACTGTAAGCTCAAAAAAAGCTCGACTCCTGGGCGAGCGACTCTGTAAAAATGGTAAACTGTAATATACGCCTATGCATAACTAAATAACTATACTTTGATATATGATAAATATATTTTATAAACAACTTTTACTCTTAAACAACAAACAATTTTAATACTCTATCTTCAGCCTTACCGTAAACTAAATGAAAGAATATAAAATTAATCTAGAAACTCCTTATGAAGAGCTCCGAAAGCTAATGTGCAAAGATGGAAATCTAGCCTAACCTAAGCCTAAAACCAACGAAATCGATTAAAAGTTGTTAGTTTTGTTGTTTGATGTAAATAAGCTTTAAAGTGGTTAGCTCAATACGAATACTTTGTTTGCTCCTTTCGTTAAAGAGCGTTTGAAAAAAATCTTAAGCCAATAGCGAAAACAAACCTTTGTGATCCAAAAAGTTTCTTCTCTTCCATGAAGCAAAAACCAAACTATCCAATATAATAATATGAATTTAAAATTAATATGTAATTACATTGACTTAATTAGCTGAGACGTTCAATAATTTCAAAAAGCATTTAGTAAAGGAAATTGTGAAAACGAAAACAACTAAAATAAATGAAGTCATAAAACCAAAAGAAGAAAACTAACAAAACATTGTGTTTTTTCCCATTTATTATGATATTTTGATTATTTTTATAATATTTATGTTAAACGAAAACACATCACACTCAGTTTTAAGGTTATCTGGATACAGATTTCAAATAAGTATTTTTTTATAAGGCCGGATATCGAAAAACATTTCAATACAAATTTTAACCTCGTTCTTTAAAGTTACTAACAAATCGACATAGCTTTGATGTTCCTCGATGTGATAATTTCAATTTTATAAAAATCAGGGACCGTAATCAGTTATTGTTTTGAGCTTTATATAAATTTCAAAAAATACAGATTATTTGTTGAGTTTTATATTAAGCTTTACAAATTATACAATAATTATTCTATGAGTTTTATTTTCAGCTTGACAAATATGGCTTGATTTGCAAGTTTTATTTATTGATCAACAAAATAAACTTATTCCTTTAGTTTCATTTTTTTGATTAAAAATAAAACTCGAACTTGGTTTTTTTTTTAATATATAACCGATTGTCGAAGAAAGAGAATGGAAATAGATTAAATGGACAATATTGGTATAGTTGTATTCCTAATAGGAGCTTTCCATGACCATGATTTTTATACCCTTGCAGAGGGTATTATAATTTCAGTCAGAAGTTTGCAACGCAGTGAAGGAGACATCTCCGACCCTATAAAGTATATATATTCTTGATCAGCATCACTAGGCGAGTCGATCTAGCCATGTCCGTCTGTCCGTCCGTCTGTCCGTCCGTCTGTCCGTCTGTCCGTCTGTCCGTCCGTTTATATGCAAACTAGTCTCTCAGTTCTAAAGCTATCTGCATGAAACTTTCCCAAAAGTTGTCTTTCTATTGCAGGTAGTATATAAGTCGGAACGAGCCGGATCGGACGACTATAGCATATAGCTCCCATAGGAACAATCGGAGAAATAAATGAAAAAAAATTATAACTTTTCTGTTTTTTAATTTTTTGTTTTGTTCTTCGACATAAAGCAATGGTTATATATTTCAGAATTATGGTTTAAATTTCATCAAAATCGGACGACTATAGCATATAGCCCCCATAGGAACAATCGGAAAAATAATTGAAAAAAATTATAACTTTGCTGTTTTTTAATTTTTTGTTTTGTTCTTCGACATAAAGCAATGGTTAAATATTTCAGAATTATGGTAAAAATTTCATCAAAATCGGACGACTATAGCATATAGCTCCCATAGGAACAATCGGAAAAATAAATGAACAAAAATTATAACTTTTCTGTTTTTTAATTTTTTGTTTAGTTCTTCGACATTTAGTAATGGTTAAATATTTTCGATTTACGGTTTAAATTTCATCAAAATCGGACGACTATATCATATAGCTCCCATACAAATAATAAAAATATATAAAAGAACAATCAAATAATTAAGCTGCAAATCGTCATAGCTTCAATGTTTTTAAACATATACGCAAGTAAATCATAATTTTAATGTTTTCAAAAATATTTAATTCTTGCGATAGCTGCAAGGGTATATGAACTTCGGCTTTCCGAAGTTTGCTTTCTTTCTTGTTTTAAATAAATATTATTTTCGGACCCTGATAATAATCAGACGACTAAGAAAAACCAAATGATTTAAACTTTTTCCAAACGACCTAAATTTTAGAAATAAGGACCTAAAAATGGTAATACGTTGCCCAAATGACCCTAGATAGGTATTTGCCTTAAGTTACTCCGGCTGGCATAAATCAAACCTTTCCAGTAATCCCACATTATCCAATTTCATACTCCCCACATCCAACAATGTTTTAAATTTCGATCAATTTCCTCCTGTCTATTAAGCAACTAAATCAAATCCTCACCTCTAGAGTCCAAGCAAAAACTGAAAAAATGCACTCAAGTCCCCAAAGAAAATAGTCTGAAAATGGGTAAGTGTTCGCCATAGAAAAGTCCGGCTTGGCCACCTGCAGAAGCCCGCCACGACTTGCAGCAACCCGCCCTCAAGCTTTCTTTCCACGCCCCTTTGTTGGACACGGGCCCCGGACTAAAAGGCGGCACGCAAATGGCCAGAATATGTGCGCTTGGCATGCAATGGCCATCAGTTGGGGCCAATGGACGAGGGCCAAAAGGGGGCTGGAGAAGAGGGGTTCTGGGCTGATGCCTTCCCACTTAGGGCAGGCAAACTTTCGACTTAATTGGCCAATTGTTTGCCAAGGCGCTGAACAAGAAAAAGTGTTGCATATTTGATGCCGCTTTACACATTTATTTTTCTTTCTTCTTGCCTTTGCCGTCCAATGATCCGAAGCCAAAAAGGTGGCAAGTTTTAAAGACCTCGTTTTGCCAGCTAATAATTTATCGGAGCGATTTCAGCAACCACCTAATTACCTGGCCCACAATTACCAAAAGCAAATATGAAAATATGGTGTGTAATGCACGGATGGCATGGCCGCCTTCCCTAATCACCCTTATAATTGAGCCGGAACAATGAAAATGTCCGGCACAAAGTGCCACCCACTTAAATCGGGAAACCCAAAACGGTCGAGAAGGACATCGGTGGAGGTATGGGACAACCCTCTGTGAGTTCGGGTTCACGTGTGTCAGGACACGTCATTATATAATTTAAGCAGTGATTTCTGATACTGACTAGTTTAAATATGAATTGTGCCTTGTGAAAACACCCCAGTTTTATACATTTTTATTTAAATTTTATGATAAAATGTAAGAACAATCTCGTATGTAATCAAAAAAAGGTGTCAGCTTACAGCTTACAGAGATGATGTAGGTTCAATGACCTAATTTCTGCACCGTTTCCAATTTACGACCTCTACCAAAGCTGGAATGTAAGTTTTGAGTGTTTGCTTTAATTTTTTGCGCCGAATCGTTATTCTGGGCACAGCATCTATTCCTCCCGCCCGTCTGCCGCTAATTCCAATCATTTGCTGTCCCATGTCCTGACAAGGGTCCTTCCAACAGTTGGCTATTTTTTCGCTGTTGTGGACCGAAACGCAGACATCGACTCCGACTCTGACTGCCGCCTATGCAAGAAAGGCAGACCTCGATACTGGTTCAGGATAATGCCTTCTATTCGGACGTACGGTACATAAATAATTTACATTTCGCATGGTCACGCGCAAATCATGTGAGCCCCATACTAAGGCAAACGGAAACAGTCAGACGGAGAAATTGGAATTGGGTTTGGGAGCTTTCGATTTTAGTGAGGGCAGTTCTGGGGGCGGGAGATGCCGCATGAAGCGCATACAAGTGACAGTTCAACATGGAAACCCACTCAAAATGTTAATTGATACGTATGCAAAGCGGTTTGGGCCACAAGGCATATGGAAAGTTTTCCGTTTGCTGTCAGAGCGAACGCAGAAACTTTCAACAGACTTGTTTTCAGAGGAGATAAATGCGGATCTGTCGTACAACAATAAAATATACAAACCATTTAAGATATTATAATTAAATTTATTTATACAAATAACATGCATAGAGAGGTTGGGGCTTACGTTCAATAAAAGTGCAGGGTCAACACTGAGAACAAACACAAATAACTTACTACTATGGACGACAGTACATGTAAAGACGATGCGCACCAAGAGAATGTGCATTGGAGACTACTATTATACCCGTAGAATTGAAAATCTGCTGTGATGGTCCGATCGTAACGATAATACACCAAACGAAAGGTATCGCTAAATGAACAAGGATTGCATTCCAAGACTTAAGGAAAATTAATTGGCTTAAGAGAAAGGGGTCGGTAAAAGGGACATTGTTAACAATGTTTTAGTGGTGGTTTAAGAACAAAGTGAACAAACTCACTAACTTTGTTTACTCACTTGTTTAGTTGTTGTGTTGGTCAGTTGCTCACTTGTTCAGTTGTTCAGTTGCTCAGTTGTTCAGTGCTCATTTGTTCAGTTTTTTATTTGCTCAGTTATTTAGTTGTTAAGTTGACCAAGTTTGCTCACAAGTTTCACTTGCTGACAATTTTTTTTGTTTTTATAATGTCTTATTTGGCCAACGTTATTGTTAACATCCCTCTTATCAAAGATTATAAAATCAGTACAATGTCAAATGACGAAATAATTTAAATAATATACATATTTATTTAAGGAATATAAGGATAGAACTAGTCAGCAAATAAAACAATTGAGAGAATAAATTTCTTTAAGCAATATATCAGATGTTAGGTTGAACGCTACAATTAGTATAATTTTTAGGAATTTGTTGGTTCAAGATTGCATTTTCAATTAGATTTTAATTGGCGCCAAATTTAATATTTATCCTGATTTTTCCAGTATATTTTCTTAAGCCGGTATTTTCAGTTACTAGACGTCTGGTCACATTGTTCTTAAGTAAAATATTTACATCTTTTTACCACAATATTTTTAGCAAAGTATTTACGATGGAGAGGCTAAACGATGACTGCGTGTGCAACATATTAGAGTTCCTGCCCCTCGTGGAGCAGATAAAGATGGCCCGACTGGCGCCGCGCTTCCAGGAGCTTCTCTGCCTGATTGTGTGGCGCAAGCCGCGCTACCGGAAGATTTCCGTATCCGATTCCATGCTGGAGCCGCTCTGCAAGGAGGACTATGTATACTTCTTCGAGCTTACAAGCCCGGCGATGGAGGAGCTGTACATATGGAACGTGCACAAGAAGGCCTTCGACTCGTACTTGGGTCGCCACCTGATGAGACCCGAACTGGCGTTCTACCTGCGCCGGGACTACAGCAATCTCCGCGAGCTCTGCATCGCGGACGAGAGCATGAACAACAGCATGATTAACACGATCGCCAAAAGCTGTCGCCGGCTGCGCAGCCTGAGCGTTTCCAGCGCCTATGTCACTGGGAAGCATATCGCTGGTCTGGCCAACCTGGAATCCCTGGTGGCGCCCGAGTGCTCCGTGGAACAGTCCTACCTGGCTGAGCTGCTGGAACAGCTGCCTCTGAAGCACTTGGACCTCACCTCGAACCGACATCCGGTGGAGGCGACTATTCTGCAGGCCGAGGGCAGCAAACGACTGCAGCGCCTCGGCCTGTCGGATGCCCAGGACTATGGGTTCCCGTTGGCCGACAGCCTGCCTCAACTGACCCAGCTTGTGGTCAGCTACCACAACATCAGCCCCCAGGATCAGTTGGCCATGCTGGACACGACGCGAAAGCGTGTGGAGAAAGCCGTGGGTAAGTTTCCCAAGCGCCTGCAATCTATATTGTGCAACGTGGTGGATGTGGAGGTGGCTCTCGAGCAGATTGCAGGCCTTGAGAAGCGCCATCCAAGGGACACACCAAAGTTCAACGAGCTGCTAAAGATCATGTACTTCTTGTCGAATCCGCAGGGCGGAGATAAGAAATAACCTTGAGATTGCAGGGGATCTGCGTCAAATCTTGACCACCATGTTTGCCCCTGTATATACATAAATAGGTACTAGAAGTCATCCAAGTGACAAATGGAACTGATATGTTTATCTGCTACCAGCTGCTCCTTGGGGTAATTATGTGTCTTCGCAGATAAGGCTTGTTATTTTTGTTTACCAATAAGTTTTCGGCGCCACACGTTCAAACAATCAGATCAGTTTTTGAAAGCTACACCAAATAATTGTTTACTTTACTCTTGCAAAGAGTATTAAACTTTTCCGCAGATACCATACCAAGTATTTCAAATATAAAATGTTATAGTCGTTTTGTGTTATTTGTTTTTAATGTGTCCGTCATTTTTTTAAGTTTTTCCGGTAGCCCTTAATAAGACGATAACGGAAATATACTTTTATCTAACTTTCCCTAACCGTTCTTGCTGCTTTATGATAAAGTAGCCCGATCGGCAAGATTTTGTAGCTTTACGGTTTTTTGTTGATAGCTTTTACAGCTCGCCATTAATCTGTATATGACTGTGTTAAATAAAATTATTGTTAGATAAAAATAAACATGTTTTAAAAAATGTATCCTATCTTTCTTTTGGCACTTTTTTACTTACACATATAAAAAGACTGCTCAAAAAATAATAAATTGTTAAAATCCAGTTCTAAAATCACAATAAAATTAACTTAAATTAATTTGATTTATTTTTGTTTGCTAGAACACATTTTTAGGTGCTAAGTCGTAATCTTCTGTATATGTATATTTAAATGTTTGTTTTAATGAATCGCGACTATAAGAGTTTTTTTTTATTAAAAAAAGTTATAGCTGTCAATTTGTAGAGTAATCACATATACATATATATTATTATTTTTATATATAAAAAGAATGGCAGTGGTAAAAAAGTTTGGTAACTTTTATATTCTGTATTATAATATATCCATTTTTTTTAACATTGACTTTATTTTTTAGCAACTGTCCTATCTTAAGGGTATTAAGGGTTTCGGTTTGCCCCACCATTATTTAAAGACTGCACTAAATAAATGTTTATTATGATTGGGTGTACACTGTGCATATATCTGTGTCAGTCCGGAATAAAGTTTATTATTTCAGTCAGCCGGATGGAGCTGTGAGAAAAACGAACCAAATATTCCATTGACTTGTTAGACCCCTGTCTAATTGATACATATACATCAATTAGGACCCAATTGTCAGACTCTTTTCTGTTGTCGGCACAATTTTCCCATGGGCAGAAGGTAATTTGTTGATTAAATTTGTACCATTATATTTGTAAAAATCATATTTAAAATACAAATTGAAAAACTTTATTAAATAAAAAGTGTATAAATGATTGGTTAAAACGAAACCAACTGGCCAGGTCCCAGAACTGGTCTTGAGCGCAAAACTAAATTCAATATAATGGGTCAAATACGTGTTAAGAAACGAACAATGAAGTGAATTGTTAGTAAGTGTCATACGAACAAAGTCTTTATGTATGATTAAATGACAAAATATGGGCCCAGGTACGAGAACAGCACTCCGGAAAAGATGCCCGTGATCAGCATGGCAGCTGCGTACATTCCGGCCGTAGTCTGGTACTTGGCGTGCACCGTCTGCGGGGCGTACATCATACCCAGCGAGCTGAGATACCCGGAACTGTAGGCCATTGCGATCGCGATGCCCCAGTAGACCCAATCGTTGTCGATGAAGACGGTCAGAACACGCACTTTGTCCGGCGGGGCGTAGTTGCACATGACAAAAAGGGGTATGAACACCAGGCGCAACACGACCGGCACCCACAGGAACCTCGGTCCCGGCCACTGGGCCCAGGATGTCGTCAAACTGCCCAGCATCGCGAACACGTTGAAGGTCATAAAGCAGGTGAAGAGCGTAAAGTAATTTGGGCCCACAATGAAGTCCGGATCCGAGCGGTGGATGTTCGACTGGATTGCCGGGAACACGGAGAGCGTCACAAAGAACGTAAGGAAGATGTTGAGGAGCTGCGGCGAGGCCTTCTTGAAGATCTGCCAGTAGGGCACGTTCAGCTGTTGTTTGGAGTCCGACTTCTTCTCGCTGCTCCGGCTGATGGTCTCGTAGTGCCGGAAGAACTTGTTCAGCGGCAGGGCGAAGTAGGTGTCGAAGCAGAGCAATAGCACCAGAATGGCCGTGACGAAGTAGTAGATGGCCGAGGTCCTCTTCGAGTCGAAAATCTCGCCGCAGAGCAGGGCCATGGCAGTGGTGAAGCAACCGCTGATGTTGGAGCCCAGCACCACGGCACCCGTGTACTTGATGGGCAGCGAGGCCACAATCCCGTAGATGGTGTTCTGGTAGATGCCGTTGCACACGTTCAGGAGCACAATGCACACCATGGTGGTCCAGAAGAAGGCGCCCGGCCACTGGGACGAGTCCAGCATGGCCAACACAATGGTCACCAGCAGGATGACCATCTCGAAGATGATGCTGTACACGATCCGGCTGGTCAGGTCGCCGCCGAAGTTGACGAAGATGTTCAGCCAGTTGAAGACCAGGTTGGGAATTTGCGAGGCGAAGCCCATGTTCTGCATGAAGTGCGTTCGGTAACTCACGTCGGTGGCCACCGTGTTGTTGGGTCCGAACTTGAAGTCCTCGAAGTAGGACTTGGCGGTGATGAACATGTTCCACGGCATCAGCGTTCCCACGCCGTGCAGCAGGAATATGAAGAACACGATGAGGTACTTGTCTTTGGGCGCCGGGAGGCCCAGCTTCCCCAGCACCGACTGGGATCCCTGGCCATTGGAGTCGTGGGGCGGCAGCTTGGATTCCCAGGAAGGATTCAGCGTTACCGCCGCCTGCTGCCGGCCAATAAAAGGCGACTTCTCCGATTTACCCTCCGCCATGTCTGCGCGACCACTGTTCTGATTTGGTTCGGATTCAGGTTTCTAAATATGCGGGCGACAGCAGTTATTGGGGCGTATGCAAGAACCGAAAACTTGCGCGGTCAGTTTTCTGGGCTGTAAAACCGGTAAGAGGGCGGGAAGGTTTGATTTCAGCCTTCGTAAGTGGCCACTCCAATTTCAGGTCTCTGTTTCGGGTTTATCCTCCTTGCGGGTGGTACGCCTGGATCAGTGGTCACTTGGAGCCCTTAGCAGCAGTGCCCGGAGAACTGAATGCGCGGACTGTGATTACGGAAGAGATCGCATCAAATCAAAGGTTATAGTTATACACATAAGGCACGCGTTCTTGTACTGTTATCGCACTCGAAGATTATCGCCGAGACGTATCAGCTGTACTCGATCGGGCGGCGGGCGTTGCCACACCGCTGGCAATTATAATTTATGGGCGTAGATATGCGTGCTTTCAGAGGGTTACCACATACATGGGCTCGGTCTGTTCATTTCGTAATCGTTAATGGGGGCCGGGAGTTCATCAAACACTTGAATATATGTATATGTTAACCAACCCATTTTCAGTTAATTTTTTTCTTCATTTCACAAAAGTATCAGTAAGCTAGAAGAACTTTTAAAAATGTTGTTTCCGGATATAAAATAAAAATGCTTATGAACTAAATTGGCAAATTGGGGCGATCGTGGTTTTGTGTCCCCCTTGTCCACGGCCATGTCCGTTTATAGCTGTCTTAGCAACTAAATAAAACAATTAAACAAACCTTATCACAAATGAAAGTAATGTATTTGTTGTTATTTATATTTCAGTCGGATATTCTTCAATGTATTCATTGAAGACGGCCATTTTGCCGTTAGATCATATTTTTGAAAAACCGAGTTACTTCCACATTACAACAAATAATTATTTTTATTTGTATAATTAAATGATTTTCCGTTGATCCATAGAAAGATTTTTCTTAATACAGAATTTGCTGAGCTGGCAGATGAGTAAGCTAGTCCCCAGACTTAGCTAAGTAAACAATTATCATTATTTTTTAAATTGGCCAGTCACTTACAATTTATAAATTTATTCATAAATTGAAGATTTTTGGTAACACTCAGTATCTGCAACAGGTGGCAAGGTTGCCGAACTACCGTTTTCCAACACTATACTGTTCTTCTTCTTACCCGCCTTCCTTCAGCGGTTTTTCGTTTGTTTTAAGCTAAACACGTTGCTTATAGGAATTATAATATAGAATAGCGACCATGGCCACAGAGGAGGCCACCCCCAGGATCCAACTGGGCGACTATATCGTCATTCAGCGCCAGAAGTACACGAAGCTGCAGAAATTCGGCAGTCTGGACGCCACAGCCACTTTGGGCAAGGAGACCCTGGAGCTGAAATCGCTGTTGGACCAGCCCTACGGTTCCACGTTCAAGATGTGCGTCAAGGAGACGAAGCCTGGCAAGCGGGGAGCCCAGAGGCAGCACACGCTGGAGCTGTGCAGCGAGACTGAGCTGAGGAGCACGCGGGAAGTCCTCGGAATCTCCAGCAGTGGGGCGGATAATCGCGACATCCGCGATGACGGTGAAGCGCAGACCCTTAAACCGGAGGACATTGCTCAGCTGCGCGAGGAGTGCAATGATTCCAGTAAGATCATCGAGAAGCTGGTGGAGAACTCAAAGACCTTCCACAACCGCACCGAGTACTCCCAGGAAAAGTACCTGCTGAAGAAGGAAAAGAAGTACTTTGAGTTCGTCCAGATCCGACGGCCGACAATCCGACTGATGCTGGACATATTCTACCGCCAGGATTCGGAGAAGGTGATGGGTATTCGCGTGGACACCCTGTCGCAGATCATCTCCTACTCGGGCGTATGCGGTTTCGGCAACTACCTGCTCTACGAGAGTGGCACCAATGGTCTCTTGCCGGCGGCCATGCTCAATTCCATAGGAGCGGGCACGGAAGGCACCCTGGTGCATATGCACCCGGGAAATGTGCCCCAGAAGCAGTCTCTGCTGGCTCTGAAACTGCCACTGGAACAGCAACAGCGCTGTGTATCCGTTAATCTGTACTCCGTTTTGAGGGAGTTCTACCAAGGAGGAGAGGCGATGGCCACTGGTCTTCCTCCCGTGGATCCCAGTGAACAAGAAGCACAGGAACTCCTGCCGGAGGCGCCAACGGAAGAACAGCCGGATGCAATCGAACCGATCACCAAGAAGCCCAAGCTAGAGGAGTCTAAAAGTGGGAGAGAAGGTAGTTATTTCACTTGGAACCTAATGAATATGTTTTAGCAGATTTACAAAGCTCGCATCTGGATAAACATTGTCGGGGAAAGACAAACTCAAGATATTCATTAGGAAGCCAATGTGAATAATAGCATTTATTTAGAGCTTTTAAATTAATAATAAATACAAAAAACTAATGCATAAATTAGTTATTAACAAAAATGTTTACATTATATACCACAAACATTAATTTAAAGCAGGTCACTGTAGACAAAATGAAGTAGTTGCGGAAAAAAAATGTTTCACAGTTTATATTTTGAATAAGAATAACAGGCTCAATTTGAAGAGTACTCGAAAATTGACATTTTGAGTAGTAAATCCTAAATAACAACTTTTTAATTTTTTAAGACTTAGGTTTTGTCAAAATAAATTTTTTAAGTCATACAATAATTAGTTCAGCTGCCATCCAAGGAAGTGCAAAACAAAACGGTTAAAATTAATTTAATTAAATGATTTAAATTGAAATATTTATATATTTTTTTTAAATTTAAGCACCTTTTGATCAACGTAGTTATACAATCCTTTTATTCTTTATAGGAACCAAAGGACCTCCCCGCTGGCATTTGGAGAACAAGCGGGCCACGGCATTAATGAGCACCGGATTTGACAGCCTGGTGTTGGCCGCGAAGGAGCACCCGTCCAGCATCCTCCAGGCCCTGCTGCCCCTCGTCAAGCCCTCAAGACCCGTTGTGTTGTTCAGCACCTGCAAGGAGCTGCTGCAAGAGACGTACATGGAACTGAAGACTTCAGGCAAGGTGACGGGTCTGCACCTGACCTCCAACTGGCTACGTTCCTACCAGATCCTGCCCAATCGTACCCATCCGGAAGTGAACATGAGCGGAAATAGTGGATACCTTCTGACGGGCTATACGCTAAGATAGTTGTTGTGCGACCGTGAAATACATGTAAGCCTTTGTTTTGATAATATCATGCAGTGTTTAATGCCCGGCAAGGATCATGTCTAGTGTGTGTATGTAGTGTGCGTGTACAGCGCTCTGTTGTCGATCTAGACGGGTGGCACGTTCTTCAGCACGAAAAAGTGGCCGCACTCGCACCGCTTCGGTCCCTCGTCCTTCTCGATCCACATCCACTTGGGCAAGCGGTCGTCTAGGCACAAGCAGCCCACAAGGCGGGCATCGAATGCTGATGGCACGACTGTGGGATCGTTCTCCCTCCCCGTCCCACGCCTAATGATCTTGGTAAATCCCCAGGGATCTTCGCAGCCCTGTTTGGCCAACAGCATCTCGCGCTTCTGAATGCCGGTGGCCAGTTCCTCGTCCTCAATCAGCGCTGATGGGATAAATGAGCTAGTTTAGGATTTTCAGATGACCCTGTCCGCCGCTTACCAGACTTTTGCACCTGAGTTGTGGATATGGGACGCGGTCCGGGGGCAGCTTTTACTCCTCCCTGGCGCTGCAATCCTAGGCGATGCAGTAAGGAGTTAAGCTTCCCCTCGCGCTGGATCAAGTTCGAGATGAGGCGCTTAGAGGCGGACGGCGCCTTAAGTATGCGCGAAATGTACGACGACATTGGTTTGCAGTTTATTTCAAAACTCTATTGATTTCTTACCTCCAGGTAAGAGGATAGAAATAAAACTAAAGCGAAATAGCTCGAACACGATTGATTCTATTTTGAGACGCCTACTGCTTGCAGTAAAACAAGGAAAACTATTCGAATCGCGTTTGAGCTTTTTTAAGTGTTAATTAAAACTATCTAAATATATGGCATCCAATGGTTCTGGTAAATGAAATACTTCAACTTTCGCACGAAATCACTTTGATGCCTTTATTCTTTGCGTTTGTGTATACTTAAGCACATCGTCTCGGTTGCAGTGGAAACTAAGATGACAGAACTAAAAATGGAAGCTGCGCCGCCGCCCGTTTTCTTTTCTAGGATCTCGGTTTTTTGGGTTGATGTTTGTTTATTTGGACAGCTAAATGGTTGACTTTTAGCTTAATAGTTGTTGTGTTTTTGTTATTAATTGGTTTATTGAATTAATTAATAATAACTTTAAACAGCTGCCTTCTCCACCAGCTTGAACCAGTGGCCGCACTCACAACGCTTCTGGTTGCCCTTTTGCAGCCACATCCATTGCACGTAGGTCTGATCCTCTTCGCCTGGGGTGAATAAAGGGAGTTAGTTAAAGTACTAAAAGAAAGTTTGCGGCAGGATAATAGCACTGAGTATTGAATTAAGGAATTTGTTTGGCTTTAAATTCAACATTATTAGGGGCAAAAGTAATTTTATTTCAGTTGAATTTTCGCATTTGAGTAATACATTTTAATTTTATCTAGAAAACAACTTGCAATAACATTGGACGATTAGAAAAAAGACTAAGAAAAGGAACAAAAATAAATAAATAGTTTAGCAAAGTGACATCCATTTAATAAATAGGACTAACAATAGGACTGCTTTGGTTTCTTGTGCACAAATTTAAACGTTAAGTTCGTTTAAATGACGTTTTCTTACTTTACTAATAAGTAAATACTTATAAATTTTATTTAAAGCAAAAGCCAAAACTAAGTGAATGTGATTAAGTTGAATTGGAAGCACTAGTCGTTAGGGTCAAAACAACTATGCGGATGAAAAGACCAGTACAGTACCAAAATCTGAATATCTATTGTGCTATTATCCTATGACAACTCACAGATGCAGCCCACGATGCGGGCATCGAAGGCCGATGGAATCAGGTTGGGGTTCTCCTTGGTGCCGGCGCCCCGCTTGAAGACCTTCATGTCGAAGGGATTATCGTTGCCGGCGGCCTTGAGCAGCAGCTCGCGCTTCTCGATACCAGTGGCGTGCTCCATGGGATCGTTCATCACTGCAAGGCGGAGAAAGGAGAGATTAGGAAATTAGCCATAAATTGATAAGCGATGGGTCCGTCAGCTGGGCGGCTGGTTACATAAACAGTAGACGCCCCAGAGCCAGCAGCGGCGTTACTAGTTGGCGAGCAGGAAAGCCGATCCCGGCCAGCTTCCGTGGAGGGGATGACTCCGCACTGCTCTTCCGCTTCCCCCTCTCCGGCCATAAGTCACACATTTCCCTGCGCATAGTTATTACATAACCTCGCACTTTCGAGTGGCACTTTTCTCGGGACCCAAAACTGCAGCTTTCCAGGCAACAGGGTGCAACGCCTTGGTGTTTTAGCCACCAGCGCTCCATGGTTATGCAATTCCAGTCCAGAATGTCCGCCAATTTGGCGAACGTGACCGAAAAGCAGCTATCCGTGGGATTTCCCTCTAGGTTTGCTCCACTTACTTTTGCAGAAGCGCACGGGCGTGTAGGCAACATTCTGGCGTGCGGCGGTACGAAGCGCCATGCGTCCACAGATCGATGCCATTGTTCGTTTTGCGAAAATTTCGGTCGGCCTTTAAGCGTGAACACCAAAAATTCTTTCGTAATTTTTCACACAGGGAGACTTAAGGACAGTGTGCGACAATCTTCCAAAGTTAGGTGTTGCAAAACGCCGCATTTAGTTTTATTGACAGCGCGGCGTTGCCAACCGGTCCGCCAGGGGGCGCCACCGCGTTGCCGGGCAACCAACGGTAAAAACAAAACAAGTAATTATAAACTTTTCTTAAACTGCAAGGAAAATGTCCAACAAGCCGGTTATCTGCTTTGATACATCCAAAAATGAACGCTTTCAAGTATCGGACAACTACAAAATGCTGCATCGCAAGCTGAAGGTCAATTGGAACGTTGAACAGTCAGTATCGCAAAAAACTACAGCTATAAATATATTTACCCCTTACGCGTCTATTAATGAAATTGTTGTTGGCCTATTTTTAAATGTTTTGAGATAAACAAAATGAAAAACTTAAGTTTTAATGAAGCACATCCCATCCGCAGAAATGATGCGGAGCTGAGAAAGGATCGCCTTGCCCGGGTAAAAGTTTTTGTGCTCGCCGGACCCCAGGACCGATTCACCGAGGACGAATTCGAGGTGCTGAAACACTACGTGGAGGTGCAGGGAGGCAGTCTGCTGGTGCTCCTGGGCGAAGGCGGGGAGCCGGAGTTCAATACCAACGTGAACTTCTTCCTGGAGCAGTACGGGATCTACATCAACGGGGACAATGTGGTGCGACCGCATTACTACAGGAACTTCCATCCCAAGGAATGCATCGTGGGGGGCGGTGTTGTCTGCGAGTCCATGTGGCGGCACCTCCTCAAGATGGACATCGAGAAGGTGGACTACGATTTTAGTGACGAAAAGTACAAGATACACTTTCAATATCCGTATGGGGCCACTTTGAACGTATCCGAGCCTGCGAATGTCCTGCTAACCACAGGTCCCGTAGTGTATCCCTTCAATCGCCCCTTAGCAGGCTACTTTACAAATGGGAAAGGTGGGAAGATCCTGGCTTTGGGCTCGGGCTACATTTGGCATGACAAGTATTTACAGGACAAGACCAACGATGCGATATTTGAGTACTTGCTAAATCTGCTTGGAGGAGACGAGATCAGTTACAGCCATTTGGATTTCAATGATGTGGAGGTCAGTAAAACAACAAACAAGAACTTATTGTTTTATATTTTAAAACTTTGTTTAAAAATTAAAGGATTTCAATCTATTTTTAACGCAAGTTATATAAGGTTTCGTTTGGATATTATATCGAATTTATCAGAAGTTTTCAAACTTTATATATTCTTGATCAGCACCGTCTGTCCGTTTCTAAGCAAACTAACTTCATGAAAATTTCCCAAAAGTTGACTTCCTGTTGGAACGAGACGGATCGGACGACTTTATTAGCTCCAAAAAGAAATAAAATTATAGCTTTGCCTTTTTTTAAAATTTTTGTATTTTTTCGAGATACAGTAATTAAGTCGGACGACTATATTATATATATGGAAATCATCGGAATTTTATAAAAAAGAAGAGTTTTTAATTTTTTGTATTTCTTTTGGATATAGTGGTTTAATGGTTTATTATTTCAGAATTACGCTTTTAATTTTATTTAAATCGGAAAACGGAACAAACGAATACTTAAGCTGAAAATAATCATAGCTTTAATGTTTTTAAGCTTTTACGCATACAAGTCGAAACTAAGATGTTTTAAAGAATATTTTGTTTTTGCAATAGCTGAATGGGTAGATAAACTTCGGCTTATTTTATTTTAAGTTTTTTATTAACAAAAGGAATGTTATTTCGCAACTCAAAATAAAGTTTTTATCAATTCTACTTATGATGTTAATATTATCTTATATTTGTTTGGTATTTTCTTTTTTTTTTTGTTATGCTCATGCAAAATTCTTGTTTTTAATACTTCTATGCAGTTTAAGGATATATTTTTTATTATAAATTTTCATATATACTCCCAGTTTTAAACCTGTCAATATCTGTCTCAGCTCAGCGACAACAAACACTTCACCGACCTGGCGTTCCTGGCCGACATGCCCAGAGCCTGCCTCATTGACTCGATCGGAACGGAGATGCCCACAGACTTCAAGCAGATGTTCGACATGAAGCTGTGTGCGCTGAGCAATCACCTGCTCAAGGAGGTCATCGATGCGTACGAGCAACTGCACGTAAAGTACGAGCCGCTGAGGATAATCAAGCCTCAGTTCGAGATCCCGCTGCCCGGCCTCCAGTTGGCCACGTTTCCGCCCATCTTCAGCGAGCCGCCCGCTCCGCCGCTGGAGCTGTACGATCTCGACGAGACTTTCAGCGGAGCTCGATCCCAACTGGCGCACATGACCGGCCAGTGCCTGCAGGCGCTGCAGTCAAAGGAACCCCAGAGGAGGGCCCTCAACCCGCGGGAACTGGAGAACTATGTGAAGGAGTGCGCCAGAATCACCGCCATCGTGGACGAGCGCCAAGATATGACCGCTCGAGAGATACTGAATATCGTGGCCCGCCAAATTGTCAGTTACAGGCCATATGCGGAGGATTAGGACGCTCCGATTACCCGCACGGCGGCACATTCCGCGCAACCATTTTCGGGCCAATCAGCAGAACCAGAATTATGTGAATATAAAATATAAAATATAAAATTGAAAACCTGGTCTGTTTTATGTAAACATGTTGGCGACTCGTATTCAAACATGGCTGGCAAGCCAGCAAACCAACGCTGCTCCGTTCTCCGCAGAGCTCCCGAGTTAAATTACACTGAAGGCAATTTTGTGAGTGCGGGAAACACAAAACCTGTGGGAAGTAAAGCTATATAGCTGCTCTTACCAGAGGTTCTCCCATCGTTTAGTACGAAAATTGTTTACTTAACACAATTAATTATTTGTATTAATATTTCCCCAATCGCCCAGGGGCTCCCCCTGTCCCACTGCTCTCCCAAAAATTACCCCGAGGAGATGTTCTGTTTTTAGGTGCTAACAATTTGTTTCCGCTTTGCCAGAGGGGAAGTCTCGTCCCATGCTGCTAATTGGGATATGGGGCAGGGGACGGGGAGGCTTAAGTGTGTGAAACCACTAGTTAATGTTTGTCACAACAAATCGTGTCATTAATCTGAGGTCCCAGGGGACGACAATGCCAGGGAGAGGAGTCCTGTAAAAAACTATTGCACAACTGACGGTTGTAAATTTTTTGTTGATTTTCTCTTAAAGTAGAAAAGAATTCTCTGGAGCTTATGGACATGCAGGATTCGTGAAGGAAAGGAAAGCA